GAGGTTCACTTATAATGTTATCAATATTTCTACATCAAATAACATAATTTAGAAGTAATAGGCTATTTTCTGTTCTGTTTTGACCCCCCTCATCAGAACGCTCTGATTGAATAGGCGTGGCGGATTGTAGACTCAGAAGTAAACGGCCACTGCTATGATTGGCTAACAGTTGTGTATGTTTGACAGCCTACATCCTTCACAGATGCTGTGATTTAGGTTAAAAATGCATAAATACTCAGTACATATCAAACGATCTGTAATTACAGACAAAGCAATAGTGACCACATAATAAAAACAGTTACTCACCCTTGTGTGGTGCGACATTACTGTCAGATCCAATATAGTCACCACAGAATTGTCTTTTAGTTTCAATCTTTCTGAAAATCCTGCATCAAATTGTGCTTTGTTTGTAAACGAATCCATGGTAAAATTAAGTGAACAAAGGACCAAGTTCTTACTGACGCTGTCTGGATCTTCTTTAAAGGGTCATGAAACCCCAGACTACTTTTTCTGAGATTTTAGCAGAGGTGTTTGTGTTGCACATCATAGAAGACAATGTTAGCAACCGATAATTTTAACTGTTAGAGAAAACTGGTTAATTTTAAGCTTTTTGCACTATTTTCATCTTCTGGGTTTAAAATCGACATCATGTTGACGTCACAATTTTGACGTGGCAATGGACTATAGTACATCGATGACGCGTCGGTGTCTATTAAATTATTCATGAGACTGCGTGTTCTTATCTTATGAGAAGACGCTTCGCTTAATTATTCACAACGGCATGTGTTGATTTGCTATGACAGACGCTTCAGACTGTGAGATCGCATACATTAACTGAGAGACACGTTCATGGATCGAAGAAGAGTGTTTGTTTTTGCTTTGTATTAGCAGAGGTGTTTGTGTTGCACATCATAGAAGACAATGTTAGCAACCGATAATTTTAACTGTTAGAGAAAACTGGTTAATTTTAAGCTTTTTGCACTATTTTCATCTTCTGGGTTTAAAATCGACATCATGTTGACGTCACAATTTTGACGTGGCAATGGACTATAGTACATCGATAACGCGTTGGTGTCTATTAAATTATTCATGAGACTGCGTGTTCTTATCTTATGAGAAGACGCTTCGCTTAATTATTCACAACGGCATGTGTTGATTTGCTATGACAGACGCTTCAGACTGTGAGATCGCATACATTAACTGAGAGACACGTTCATGGATTGAAGGAGAGCGTTTGTTTTTGCTTTGTAATAAGAGTTCGGCACAAACGCGATTCATTCACTTAGTGAGCATAACCGTTTTTACAGCTCTGTGACACAACCCGTCAAAAGGCTTATATAAACGCCACAGAATAAGCCTTAAAAGTTCTCAGAGGTGCAACAGCACATTCATGTATGTTTTTCACTTTATATGACTTTATATGACCCTTTAAAGGGGTCATATGATGCGATTTCAATTTTTCCTTTCTCTTTGGAGTGTTACAAGCTCTTGGTGCATAAAGAAGATCTGTAAAGTTGCAAAGACTAAAGTCTCAAATCCAAAGAGATATTCTTTATAAAAGTTAAGAGTCAGCCACGCCTACCTAAAACGGCTCGTTCTAACATAAAGTTCATCCACTCTTTCCTAATGTTGCAATCATAAGGAAGGCAATGCAAAGACTGTGTTTTTCCACAACTTGGCACTGCAGTGTCTTGCTGTCTTCTGAGCCATTTTTATCGTTTGATTTCTATGTAGATCTGCGTTTGCCTCTCTCGTTATTTACACTACATGCGTGAATCGGTGGGCGGGGCTAAACAGGCAGTGATGTAGAAGCAGGAGTTGATCTTCTTCTGAGGCGGCGTTCCACAACTTGGCACTGCAGTGTCTTGCTGTCTTCTGAGCCATTTTTATCGTTTGATTTCTATGTAGATCTGCGTTTGCCTCTCTCGTTATTTACACTACATGCGTGAATCGGTGGGCGGGGCTAAACAGGCAGTGATGTAGAAGCAGGCGTTGATCTTCTTCTGAGGAGGCGGGGTTTAGCCACACTATTACTTTATAAAGTGGCTCATTCCACAACCTGTCGTTTTGGCAGATTGGCTTCAAGATAAGCTGTTTTTAGACTAACGAGAAAGGTTTGAGTTGAGGTTTTTATAGTACAATGACAAAGAATATGTCATTTTTGATTTCTCAGTTCATGACCCCTTTATGAGAAAGGAATATTTATCCATCTTTCTTATTGTACATTGTAATGTTATAGTATTTTTTTAGGTTTCTTTCTTTTTTCTTTCTTACCAAGTACTATATAATATTGTAAATTTATTGGTTATCGACAATAACATGAAAATAACTGTAGGCTTGTTGTTAGAAGATCACTTTTCAAATAGATAAATGCATCAATTTTTCTTTTCATAACCATCTGAAGAAGAGGAGTGAAGTTTTGAGATGGTCCAGCAGGTACCCAGAGCACTTGTGTATGCAGTAGGCAGGGCCATTTCTAGGAAATGCTGGAGGACGCCAATGAACGACCCAACACCCCCATTATGCCTTAACATAATGATACTGCATTTTAACACATTCAAGCAGCTGAATATTAGCATAAAATGCATTTTTAGAAATGTTATCAAAAAGATAAAAGATCAGAAATACAAATATTTAGTGAAGATGTAGCCCTCTCTCTCTCTGTGTTCTAATAGGTCTCTACCACCACCCACGAACACACAACACAGCGCAGAGTAGCAGCGGCGGTGCTAGAGGCCTATTAGCACGCAGAGAGAGAGAGGACCCGGGGGAGAGGGGTTACAAAGACAATAATTTTTGATTTTTTAAATGAATGACATGTCCGCAAATTAACACTAATGGGTATCTTAAAGGAAAACTTGAAATCGCATCATATGACCCCTTTAAGCTACAGTATTCACTAAATTTAATGCTGATAGTCTAAACTTGTGCTTGTGATACTAACAGTCTGTGTCTAGTGAAAGTAACAGGGCACACATTTGGGCAGGTACAAAGAGAGTAGCATTTGATTTGCAGGATTGCCAGTATCCATACTGGCAAGTTACGTCCCACTTTGAACACTGACTAATACTAAATGTGTATATATTTAAAAATAACGTGTGTGTTATGGAGGTATATAATATGTAATGTTTAGCTTGGTGCCTGTGCATTAGTGAATACGATTTTTTTATTTATTACAACACAAATCCAGGTTTGGGTTACAGAAATCGCAGACCTGCTCTATCACCAATGTGCAATCAAGTAAGACACCCCAGGTTGCTTCAGGCGCATTATCTCAGCAAGTGGTTAACAGTAAGTTGTGAAAAGCAAGTGCTAAATGGCAACTATGAACATGCAGTATTTATGTGTTAGAAAATGGTGTGTGTGTTTGATATGTCAGTCTGCCATAGGTGAATTAGCCTGAAGTTGTTGTGACCTCTTCTAGAATCTCGTTATTATGCAAAAATATCTCTGTAATGCAAAACCTGACACCGCCTACTTTATTAGAAAATGCCACTGAATTAAAATGCCTTATTATTTGTCCGCCTTTTCTCTCATGACCTTTTAATTAATATATATGGCTGTCCATATTTTAGGAATTTCCATTACCAGCGATAACAGATATTAAAGGGTTAGTTCACCCAAAAATGAAAATTAGCCCATAAATTACTCACCCTCAATGCATCCTAGGTGTATATGACTTATTAGCACGCAGAGAGAGAGAGGACCCGGGGGAGAGGGGTTACAAAGACAATAATTTTTGATTTTTTAAATGAATGACATGTCCGCAAATTAACACTAATGGGTATCTTAGAGTACAGAAATGGTCTGAAACAGACTCTGTAGGTCCTCTACAGTACATTAATGTGTAACACTGCATGCCAGTATAAAGTCCTGTTAACACCACCAACAATGCAATGCACCAGTCATAATACTGCTTCGTTGCTACGTACCTAGTTCCCTGGTGCCCTAGTAATAGTTACAGTGTAGAACAACATTTTAGGTGTCGATAATGAGGTTTATGTTATTCTGTTATATCAAATCAGTTTTTATACCGCTCTTATTGAACATTAATGAGCTTAGGTCACTTAGTTGCTGTCATTAGTGGTGTGAATGAGGCTTGAAGGATATTACTGTTGGCTTCAGAGTGTTTGTGTAATGATGCATTTAGAACCTTGTGAAAGATGCAACACGTTGGAAAATGCGTTTACTGTATGTATATGATTTACTTTGACCTTGGCTGATCACCGTATGCTCCCACTGAGTCATTGATATACGTATTGATGTCCAAACACAACAGATTTGTTTCCATTAAGTCTTAGAGCATATTGATCCCCCAGTGCAAACACACACACACACTAATATCATCAAATTCCAATTATTCATGTACAGGTACGAAATTGAATACACACACACATGCACACTTGTTTGTTTTATGGTGGAGACTTTGTATTGACATTGTTCTTACAAAGCTAATTATATTTTTTGTTCCCTGACCTGACCTCAAACCGTTCTGCAGTTTTGCATTTTTATTAAAATCATTACGTAGTATGTTAATTAATCATTTTTGTTGTGCATTGGCTGGTACCCACATTGGAGTAGATTTTGGGTTTTACTATGCTTGTGGGGATATTTGGTCCCTGACTGGGCCCGAACTGTGAGAAAAGCAAGGGCCCTTATAGTAACAGCTCAAGCACACCGAAATGCATGAAGAAAATCTCTCTCTCTCAATAACTACAATATGTTTTTAAAATAGCTAGAGGTACTTTTCCAATAACATGTGTATTATTGTAGATGTATATCTAACTAGGCCGCAAAACATATTCCTAAACGATTATTGGCAGTTTATCCAGGGCAGCAGTGGCGTTATTAGGAAATCAGTCACACTCTGTGGATGTTTCCTCGGCGCGCGCTCTAGTCACCCAACGCCACCCTTTCCCCGATCCTGCTGCCACACCCCCTTTCTCACGAGCGCTGAATGGTACGTCCCAGTGATGCCGAACTTGTCAGACTGAAAAAATCGTGAATACTTGAATTTGAATCTTAACCTTTCAGAATACGACGCTCCCTCCTCGTGCGAGTGTGCTGGTGTGTATGAGCTGCCGCATCCCTTTTCACTCAGCATCCGCTCTCGAGCGTTTCCCGGTAACCGAGCACCGCGCTCCCGCCGCCTTACCGGAGCCACCGTGTCTCTGACCGAGGCGCTCTGCTTTCTGAAGGATAAACGCCAGGATTCGGTGTCGGAGCCTTTTCCCACATATCTACCAGAGATTCAATTGTCTATCCGGGGATTTTACACTGAATCATGCTCAGCAGTGACGAAGGTAAGCAGCAGGACCCCGGTAAACATAACCGGTTCTCCATAACTGCGTGTGCTTGTGGGTGTTTGCTCGTATACGCTGAATACAGACGTGAATTCAGTTTCTCAAACGAATGACTGCGGTAGGCTGTGTAATGAACGCATCCCTTTTCCTTAAGGAAACCGTTACGAAACAGAGAACCCGTTATTAGGCGGCTGAGAAGAAGCTCGGTCATTTTTTTCCTGCGCAGCACATCTGTGTAACTGATCCGAGGCTCTCCCAGCTCAGACATCCACAAACAGGCAGCCAATAAAAGGCTTTGGTTCCCATCCATCCTCCATCCGCCGTGAGACTTTCTTGCTTTTAGAGGCGAGCTTTCCCGCCGTCACCGCGCGCAGATCATTCTTGACAGACAGTATCGACTGGGCACGAGACACCAATTACCCGCTGCTTGTGAACTTGACTGACTGAATGCGACCTTTACGGTCTTTTACTCTTTAATTGTGATATTTCTACGAGGTATGTTCGAGAAAACAGCATACGGGTCTGAATGAGTGTGAGGGGATTTCACCGAGAAATATGCCCACGGTCTCGCGCACGACCGGGTCACCTGCACGTCTCGGCAGTTGTGCTGGTAAATATTTAAATTTCACAGGATTTTCTCCGTTGTAGTCTATATATTCTTAAAATGTATATATAATCTTATAAAGATGAACAAATGTTTTAATATTAATGAAATAATATGAGTTCAATTTGTAAGGTTATTTGTTGATATTGCTTTTGCTTTTAATTTTAGTTTGTATCCCTTTGCAAATTAAAATCTTATTTTACCTTTGCAGGGGCCCCCTTTTCAAATAATTTTTTTCTCAGAAATTTTGCCCACACACTCAGTTTCAGGATACAGAAACCACACACACAAATGATACGTTTATTTGCATATGTAAATAATGTAGTAGTTAATTTAAACATATTTTTATGTCTTTCCTTAAAGATGAATTTTATGCATTAAAACACCACACTAAGGGCAAATATTTTTATGCATATTTAGAAGCAGGCTTCAGCACATTATACAAGTAATCTCCAAAAGAATGTGATTAATTGGTACAATTTGTCTACTTAATGTATATTGCTCTCTATTTGCTTGCTGAGGTAAACTGATGTATACTCACGACGATTTTAGACAATTTGTTTGCTGCAGATAGTTGGAAGTAAACAAGATATGTTTGCTACTATTGCCCATCACTGAACATCACATAAAATCAGGCGAAGTGTGATTGGTGGTTTAATATGTCGATCAAATGGCCCATTCCTTTATGAATTGAGGGTTCTTCAACAGATTAAAGGGGTCATATGATGCTTTTTTTAAAGATCATTATTTTGTGTATTTGGTGTAACAGAATACGTTGACATGCTTTAATGTTCAAAAAACACATTATTTTTCAAATACTGTACATTATTGTAGGTCCTCTATGCCCCGCCTCTCTCAAACGCTTAGTTTTCTACAAAGTCCCTCCTTCCGACAAGCGCAATCTGCTCTGATTGGCCAGCTGACCCAGTGCATTCTGATTGGCCGAACACCACAAGCACTCGTCGGAAATGTAACGCCACTTATAAAGGGTTAGTTCACCCAAAAATGAAAATTAGCCCATAAATTACTCACCCTCAATGCATCCTAGGTGTATATGACTTTCTTCTCTCAGACGAATCCAGTCGGAGTTATATAAAAAATTGTCTTTGATCTTAAAAGCTGTTTAATGCCAGTCAGTGGGTTTTGCATTGCTTTAGTCCAAAAGAAGTGAAATAAAAAGCGACCATCCATAAAAAAAACCATCCGCCGTGAGACTTTCTTGCTTTTAGAGGCGAGCTTTCCCGCCGTCACCGCGCGCAGATCATTCTTGACAGACAGTATCGACTGGGCACGAGACACCAATTACCCGCTGCTTGTGAACTTGACTGACTGAATGCGACCTTTACGGTCTTTTACTCTTTAATTGTGATATTTCTACGAGGTATGTTCGAGAAAACAGCATACGGGTCTGAATGAGTGTGAGGGGATTTCACCGAGAAATATGCCCACGGTCTCGCGCACGACCGGGTCACCTGCACGTCTGGGCATTATTGTAGCCTTCTGGTAAATATTTAAATTTCACGGGATTTTCTCGAATACAGAACACCTCACCAGCTGCTCGAATCCAGTGTTCTTCATGTGTTGTTCTCCGATTCCCCGTTAGTGTGTGTGAGTGTTCTGCGACACATCTGTGCATTAGGCTATTCACTCCTCTGGTAACATGAAGAGAGTTGGTCGGGAGTTTAAGTGCCATGCTTTTGATTTAATTTTTATGATTATACCAGACGAGAACGGGAGACACAAGACTATATGTTTCATACTGTAGTAATTATAATTGAACACTAAATAAATAATTTAGTCTTCTAGACGTTATAGGCGAAAATACCAGGGCACTCCCCTTATTTGCATATATATATATATATATATATATATATT